CTGAAATCCTTTCTAAATGCATCCCTCCACCTTTCAACCTTTGCCTTGTCATTCTTGTAGCATTTTTCATGTTCTGCAAATGATTCAGCAAAACTTCCTGTTTGAACTTGGTGTGTGAGTAGGTTTGTAGGTATGGCGTGTGCATTTTGTGAACTTGGTGTGTGCATAGGTGTGCTATGACGTGTGCATTTATTTTACGCTTTGCTTGTGTTAGTACTATATTATGTATATTATGTATATATTCTATACTTAATATATGCATTACATACTTAATATATATATATATATATATATATATATATATTATGTAAGTTTTATATATATATGTATAAATATATATATACATATTAATTAGTACTTAGTTGTTGGCATATAATCCAACAAGTTGTGATCATGTGGAATGGGATGAAGCTATGGAAAGATTCAATACTTGAATGAGATATACATGGGACGTGTGTGTACATGTGTAAGGGTGAGACATGATACTATTATTGTGGGAAGTGTAAATGAGTGTTTTAATTATGAGTGAATGGGAGTATATTAAGGAAATGTTTTATGGAGTGCGTGGGTTACATGCTGCGAAATTCAAGGTGGAAAATACTATAAATAGCAATTATAGTATTGGAAGGAAAATGATGTTTCCAAAATAGGAAAAAAAGCAATACGAATTTGGAAGGTGCTACAAAAGATTATTTGGAAGGCGCTGCCAGGAAACTTCAAAATAGGGAAAGATTGGTGTACTATCTAGAGAAGTCAGCTCCACTTTATATTAGTATAAGCTGTGTTAAAATTCAGGTTGGTTACAGTTTGTTTAATTGGTAGAATTAGTTCAAACGGTATGGTATACTTTTTCATAGAGTTGTTTTACGAGGTTAATGTTTAAATAGGTGGTAGACCTAGTTTTGTAATTCATTGACCTGTAATTGTAAAAACTGCGGGTTGATCTTGAGTGAAAAAGTTTTGGGCGTGGACCCGCAGATGAGGAGGTGTTCTCTAACTGCGTAAAAAAAATTCAGCTGTGTACTTATTTTGGCGCTTCATTTATTTTTACATATTGTGATACATATCTGCATTATATATTTTCAATTGGTATCAGAGCCGTCGCTTAATTTGCTAGCGAGATCCTAGGGATACTCGAGTATTGTTTTGCAGAATGGAAGAGGGTGCCTCAATTACAAGACCACCATTGTTGAAAGGAGTAAGCAACTATGCCTATTGAAAGGCTAGGATGAAAGCCTTTATCAAATCCTTGGATGAATAATGTTGGGATGCCGTAGAAAATGCTTGGACTCCACCTACGATGATGGTCCAAAACGAAGAGAAGAAAAAACCACTAAACCAGTGGACATCTGACGAGAAGAAGAAATCATTAGCGAATAATAGAGCTATGAATGCAATTCATAGTTCTCTTGGAGAAGGTCAATTCCAGTTGATTTTAGCCACGGATATTGCAAAAGTTGCCTGGGATGCACTTATGACTCACTATGAAGGAACAGGATCTGTCAAAGTCTCAAAGTTGCAATTGCTCATGACCAAGTATGAGAGTCTAAGATTGGAAGAAACCGAGTTGATCTCTGAGTTTAGTGTAAGGATAAAGAACCTTGCAAATAGCGCACGGAACTTGGGTGAACCGTTTGAAGAAGAGAAACTGGTTCGCAAAGTTCTGAGATCACTTCCTCCGAAGTTCAAGATGCAAGTTGTTGCTATCAAGCAATCAGCAGATCTAAAAACTTTAACTTTAGATGCTTTAATGGGAAATTTGCAGACTTTTGAGTTAGAAATGGAAGAGGAAGACAAGTACCTGAACAAGGACAACAAAGGAGTTGCATTCGGCGCTGCAGTACCTACAGGAGCTGACTCAGATATAGAAATGAACGAGGTCATGGCCATGTTGTCAAAGAAATTTGGCAAAATGCTGAAGAAAGCCAATGGACACGGAAGGATGAAAGCAAATAGCAAAGGGGGTGGAACTGGAAATCAGAAGCAAAAAGGTCCAAATCAAGATTTAAAGCTCAAGGGCGTTCAATGCTATGAATGTGGAGGCTATGGACACATTGCAGCGGACTGTGGAAACAACAAAGACAAGAAATCTTACACACTTACATGGAGTGATTTTGAAGATTCTGATAATGATGAACATGTAGAACAACAAACAAGCAATTTTGTTGCATTCCATGGCTACATGTGCCACCTCGATGATGTGGAAGAACGTGCAAACTATGAGAAGTTCTTCAAAATTACAGAAAAAGTTGTGGAAGATAGTGAGGTAAGGTGGGACTCAAATCAGATACAACCTACCACACCAGAAACACATGAGGCAGCTGAAGAGATACATACTGACGATGAGGATATCGACCTTACTCATGAGGCAAATGAAGATATGCAGACTGACGATGAGGATATTGACCTAGCTGAAGCATATGGAGATATGTACAAGAACTAGTGTAAGGTAAGTAAGTTGAATCTCATATTAATTGAAAATGTTGAATCTTTAGAATTAGAAAACTCTGCTCTAAAAGTCACAGTAGAAAATGTCGAGGCTGACGTGGTTACTAGAGTGTCAAATGAAAAAAACTTGCAAAGTGAATTGGAAAATCTCAAGAAACGTGTGAGAATGTTAAATACAGACACCAAAAGTCTAAATGAAATTCTCCAGTCAGGAGTAAATAATCATAACAAAGCAGGTCTAGGCTTCACAGGTGGGCAAGGAAATCAATAACAAGCATGGGTTTCAGGAAAGATGCAAAGACGAAACATTTCCGTCCCAAGATACACGAACAGGTTCTTTCACAAGATTTGTTTTAGGTGTAACCTAAAAGGACATGTTTGGTGGCAATGCAGGCAAAACCAACCGCGACAAGTGTGGCGACCTAAGCAAACTTGCTTGACAAAGAAATGATTTTTTTCAGTTAAAAAAAATTTGTTGCTTAATTTCTTTTCCAGTTTTTTTTTTTTCAATTAAAAAAAAACTAGCTTAGGATTTTATTTCTAACAAAATTCTATTTCTTTTGTTTGTCTATTTAAAAAAAAAAAGGTTTTTTTAATGAAAACAGAACGTCGCTGTGTTATGACTTACTAGTGATGCAGGACTTTAAAAAGAGACAGCCTGAGCTTTTTGAAGCCGAGCCAACACTCATAATGGTTGATCACTACCTTCTCACGGGATCACATTTTGCTAACCCAGGCGTGCCAGAGTTTTTTGATCATGCGAGTCCCTCGTCAAATGCAAATGCTACAGAATTAGCTATTAAGTTCCTAGAAAAGGAGCTATGTCTGCTTTCTCATCATGGAAAGGAATTGGTTGATCGAGAGGTTCACGCCTAAAGTCTTCTATTAAAATTGAAGGGTTTTGGTACTGAAAATAGTGATGGGCACAACCCTGTGTGTAATGATGATATTTCTTCTGGATCCGCGAGCTCTTCATCAACTCAGTTCTATTGAGGTCACTGGTAATGTTTAACTTTCAGTAGTAGTGTTGTTCAATTTGCAAGTATTTTCTCTAGAGCATATTATTGATAGTTTGTGGATAGTCTATCTTGTTAGCCCCACTCTAAACCTGATTCAAGAGCTTGTTGCTTATTTCCCACTACAAATTCTACTCATAATAGCATGTGCTCTTGGTTTTCCACTCCGAAAACACAATACACTTGAGCTGTATATGTCATTTTATAACTCATGCATGCTAATCCTATTTACCTAGAAGAGGGCTACCCGGTGTCTGCTTCGGTTCTATAGAACCCTAGAACAACCCGGAGTGAAAGCTGTCTAGTGTACTACGCTTCATAAACTAGAAGAGGGCTACCCAGTGTCTACTACGATTCTACTTAACCCTAGAACGGCCCGAAGTGAAAGCTTTCTAGCCTTCGATGTTCCACAAGCTACTCACCTAGAAGAGGGCTACCCGGTACTTACTAAGGCTCCACAAGGACCTGAGAATAGTCCGGTGTGAAAGCTGTCCAGTGTTGATATACCTCTCCTATACTCCGATCCCATTATGAACCTCTCTACTGATTACCTGGAAGAGGGCTACCCGGTACTTAATATGGTTCCAAAGGATCTTAGAAGAGTCCGGTGTGAAAGCTTTCCAGTGTTGATATACCTCTCATATACTCCAGTTATGAACCTCTCCTATTTCAGATTCTATCTACATCATATCAATTGCATGCTCTTAGTTGAAGTTTCTTGCATTGTTCAATACATGCTGCTATGGTTATGTTACCTTTGGCTAATGTTTATCAAAAGGGGGAGAAATATGATATGAATTGAGGGGATTGATGGGATATGATATGAATTGAGGGGGAGAATGTGTACGAATTTAGGGGGAGACAGATGATATTAAGGGGGAGAACTTGTTGTACATCTTTGCATGAATTGAGGGGGAGAGAAAGTAAAAGCTGAGGGGGAAAACTTACTTATTGTATGTGTGTTTGATTAACATATGCCAAAGGGGGAGATTGTTAGTACTATATTATGTATATATGTATATATTCTATACTTAATATATGCATTACATACTTAATATATATATATATATATATATATATATATATATATATATATATATATATATATATATATATATATATATATATATATATATATATATATTAAGTAAGTTTTATATATATGTATAAATATATATACATATTAATTAGTACTTAGTTGTTGGCATATAATCCAACAAGTTGTGATCATGTGGAATGGGATGAAGCTATGGAAAGATTCAATACTTGAATGAGATATGCATGGGACGTGTGTGTACATGTGTAAGGGTGAGACATGATACTATTATTGTGGGAAGTGTAAATCAGTGTTTTAATTATGAGTGAATGGGAGTATATTAAGGAAATGTTTTATGGAGTGCGTGGGTTACATGCTGCGAAATTCAAGGTGGAAAATACTATAAATAGCAATTATAGTATTGGAAGGAAAATGAAGTTTCCAAAATAGGAAAAAAAGCAATACGAATTTGGAAGGTGCTACAAAAGATTATTTGGAAGGCGCTGCCAGGAAACTTCAAAATATGGAAAGATTGGTGTACTATCTGGAGAAGTCAGCTCCACTTTATATTAGTACAAGCTGTGTTAAAATTCAGGTTGGTTACAGTTTGTTTAATTGGTAGAATTAGTTCAAACTGTATGGTATACTTTTTCATAGAGTTGTTTTACGAGGTTAATGTTTAAATAGGTGGTAGACCTAGTTTTGTAATTCATTGAACCTGTAATTGTAAAAACCGCGGGTTGATCTTGAGTGAAAAAGTTTTGGGCGTGGACCCACAAATTAGGAGGTGTTCTCTAACTGCGTTAAAAAATTCAGCTGTGTACTTATTTTGGCGCTTCATTTATTTTTACATATTGTGATACATATCTGCATTATATATTTTCAGCTTGGATAGTCTTGTAAGAGTCCATTAAGCGTGGCAATAGCTGCCGGTGTTGACGGACTGCCTACTCTGCTGAAGTTGGCACACGTTATGGCTGCAAAGAAGCAGGAGTGGCAATCTATGAAGAAACTACCAGTGCCAGTAGAATTAAGAAAGGAATTCTAGTTTCATTCGGTTTTCGTCTGTCCAGTGAGCAGGGATCATGTGAATGAAGAGAATCCTCCCATGTCGTTGCCTTGTGGACATGTCCTATGTAAGCAGTCTATTCATAAATTGTCAAACAACGGCACACCGGCCTTCAAGTGCCCCTACTCCCCTTTTGATGCTATAGTTTCACAGTGCAAGCAACTCTATTTTTTATGTTTGTAAAACCATTTCTCTTTACACAGATTTGTTTGATGAAATCTTCACTGCTTTAGCATTTTTACTTGAAATAGAAAGTGTGTTGATGTGTACAGAGGTTTTCTTTAATTTACAAGGTCATGTTTGGTTTCTCATATGAGCTTTTTGATCTCTGTTAAATCCCTGAATTGAGACTATAAAATGACATTTCAATTTCTTAGTTATACGTTAAAGTGATGTTTTTAGTCCTGCTTACGAGTTTTTGCCTTTTACTATTTTGAAATTCTGAATATGCGTCCTAGGTGAAGTTGCTTCTCGAATATGCTATCAGGGTGAAGTTGCATGACTTAGGTGTTTGCAAGCCCAAAAAAATTTGTTATAACACTGCCATTCCTAAACCGCATTACAATAACTCGCACACGCTATTACACATAGACGCACACACCACCGTACATTACCACTCCGGTGCAGAAAAAAATCAAGGAATAGTACACTTACAATCTTTTCTTTAAAATCAAAACGTAAACCAAAAAATCACGCACACACCTAATATTAATGATTTTTTTTTATAAAAAAAAATAAATATCAAAGCCCCCATCCCGAACCTTTGTCCACGCCAAAGCACAAAATCGCACAGACCACCGTAAGTTACAGCTCCAGTGAACCAAAAAAAATAAACAGCACATTGTACTCTTACAATCTTCTTCTTTAAAAACAAACTAACGACATGAAAAAATAATCAGCATATTGTACTCTTACAATCTTCTTCTTTAAAAACAAACTAACGACATGAATTCACGCACATACATAATAAATATTTGCGTAAAAAAACATAAAACAAAAAACAAAAAACAAAAAGACAACCCCCATCCACAGAATTTGCACACGCCAGCTCGCATCCACGCACACACCAACATAAAATGATTTTTTACATTGCTTCTACATTCTTAAATTAAGTTATAATATATCCAAAAATGTGGATCATTCATGGTCACACTTAGTAATAATTACTTTTACCCAAAACCCAAATTCAATGAATAAAAAAAAAAATTATAATAACACCGTCATGCCAAGACCGCTTTTAAATAACTTGCACCTGCTGTTGCACATATACGCGCACACCACCGTACATTACCACTCCGGTGCACAAAAAAACCAATGAATAGTACACTTACAATTGTTTTCTTAATAATATAACATAAATAAAAAATCTTGCACACACATATTATTAATGTTCGTATATATTTTTTTTTTAAATCGCAATGCTTCTATCCCTAAGCTTTGCACACGCTGCAGTACATATTCGCACACACCACCAGAATTTCAACTCCGGTGTCCAAATAAAAAAAACACGTACTACTCTTACAATCTTCTTCTATAAAAACAAACCATTGTTGATTCGTTGCTACTCGTTTGTTTGAATTCGTCGTGCCCAAGCTTCGGGGACGAAGCTTCTTGTTAGGGGGAGAGGATGTGACACCCCGTAAATCCAAACTCTAGCTAAGGATTAATTAGAGAATTAATCCTAGTCGTCTTGTTAATTTATTCCTAAAAATCCTGAAAATTCAATAGTCGGAGGACTAGAATTTGACTAGTCAACCAAAGTCAAATAGTTTTACCTTATGTTTAGTGGTTTGTTCCTTTGTTCCCTTATTCATCTAAATTTAGTAAGGGCAAAGGTGTCTTTTTAACTAAAGTTTGTGCTTCAAACTAACCTAGCAACAATTCTTCATTTCATCCACCAACACTCTAAAACACAAAACCTCTACCTTCTCTCTAAGAATTTGGTAGCTTCTTGTCCATGCCAAAATTTGGGCATCTTAGATCCTACAAGTTGGCTTCCAAGATTCATACTTTCGTAATCTTGAGCATAGGGGAGGGTAAGATCCTTGATCTCTTGGTGTTTTTAGCATCCTGTTAGATGTCTTTTTCTAAAAATAGAATCTTTGTTATCTTTTGGTATGTTTATGAAGTTGGTGTTGAAGAAGAGCTTTATGAGAAGCTTTTAAGGGTGAGAAAGTGAAGTGTTAGGCTACAAAGGTAACCCATGCTTTACAAAACCTATTTTCTTAATTATATGATGATTTCATGGCTTCTACATGTGATTATTGTGAGGAAATGTGAGATTTGATGCATTGCCTTGTGGTAATGCATGTTTAGAGCTTATTATTAGGGTTCTTGTATGTCATTGCTTGGCTATTTCTTGGGTTCAAGTCATATTGTTGTATTGTGTGAGATTTTGGGTGTTTTGGACTTGAATTTGGACTTGTTGTTGAAAATCCCCGAAGGGATTATTTTGGGTTCAGGTCGGTACCCGCGGGCGAAACCACAGGCGGAGGTCCACCCGTGGCCCCACCCATGGGGAACACGTTTGAAGGTGTGCGGGGATTTGTTCCCCGTGATTCTTTTGACTCGGTATTGATGTTTTGACCTCTTGATGTTGTTTATTGGGCTATTTGACTGTCTTCTTGATGTTTCATATATGTAGAATGGTATGATAGGAATCCCTGTAGGAATTGGTGTCTTGAATCGTGCTAAGTTTCCAACTTTGTGATTCGTTGGACCATGGTGAGTCTTGTATATTCTATGGAACTACTTTTGGTTTACCCGTTTGATAAGCATGCTAGTTTGATGTTGAAATGCTAGTGTGTGTTGTTTGTTCTTTCCTATTGAGATTGGCAACTTGTGTTGACCATCGTTTGGTGTCGGATGGTAATCCTTTCTTTTTGAGTATGGTTTCATATATTTTTTGTGATCCATTGATTGATTCCTGTGATATGAAAACGTATGTAATCGTTGTACCTTGACTGCACGATTAACGTTATGGGGCCTTAATCTTCACGGTACTAATGCGGTCCCCGTGTGGCCATGCTTCAAATTGGTGGTGTGACCTGAGCGTAGGCTCATATGTAGGTGGTTGTGTGAATGAAATGAATAGTACCCTCGTCTACTCATATGTAGGTGGTTTTGTTTTAGGTTGTAGGTGGGGGGACTACGGTCCCCGGAGGCATAAGGTTAGACTCAGAAGTACAGGGGTTACTCGGAGGTAATGGTTGGAACTGAAATAAGGCCGGGGGTAGCTATAAGGTTGGAACAGGGCATAAGGTTGGAAGTTGGAAGTTGGAACTTGGAACTGTGTTCTTGTGACATGTAGTTGTTACGGTGGCATGTAGTTGCCAATATGTGAATGTCTAATCTTTGCTAATGAGCATGTCTTGATGTATTCTACTTTGTGATCAGTAGAATACATCTCGAGTTGTATTGTTTATTGTTTTTATTCTTGTTTTGTTGATTGTCATGGGATGTTGATTTCCCTCTTTCCTTTGAGAGTGAAAATGAATCTTTGAAGTTGACTTTTCTCTATGGCTTTTGAAATGATATATACTGTATTCCGTTTCGAAAATGGGTTTGACTTATACTATCTATATATGCTATTTAACGCGTATTGATGGGTTACCAGCAATGTTAGGTTCGCTGACCGGGTGTCACCCCCTATCTTTATGTTGCTTTACAGGTTATGAGTAGCACTTGGAGAGCGCGCTAGCAGTTCGTTAGTTAGTGTAGCTCCCTCTGACTGTTTCTGTTAGACTTTTGTCCTGTGAGCCATGGATTTGTATAAGCATGACTTGGATGTGTTGTTTAGACTTAGCCTGTGCACCTATAGATGTATAGGTGTGGCATAACTTCTCCCGTACTTATTTAAGTAGCTTCCGCATTGTCTTATCTTAATGTGTAGTCTTTATCCTTTTCTAAGCTTTAATTGGTTTTTAAAAGTTGTGAAAATTGGGGGTGTTACAGTTAGTATCATAGCCTAGGATGTTAGAGTCTGGACTTTTAAGAAGTTAAGTGTAGTTTGAGACCCTAAGATGACCTTAAGTATCGAAGCGTTTAAGACTTAGGACTTCTAGGACGCGTGGTCAGCTGTGTGTTGTTTATCGTTTATTCTGTTTTCTTTGTTGTTTTTGCTTAGCTTTAGCGTTCTTGTAGCTAGCACCAGGTAAGGGTGCGGGTCCTAAGTTTCCTGCCGTTATCATGCTGTTGCCATAGAAGTCGAGGATGGCACCATTGAGACGTCGTGCAAGGTCTTCAGAAGCGGCCAGCAACGAGCAGTTAGCTCAAAGCCTCCATCAACTAACGTAGATCACCCAGACGCTGAGCAACGCCCTCCTCAACAACAACCACCCTCTTCAAAATGGGAATCGTGACATAGTACGCCAAGTCGCAAGTCTCCGTCCCCCGATCTTCGACCATGAAGAAGATCCCGCAGTGCTGGACGAGTGGATCCGGATGTTTGAAAAGATCTTCAAAGCTGTGGTTTTCCCGGAGAATCGCCAAGTGGAGTTAGCTACGTTCTACCTTAGGCAAGAAGCTTACTTGTGGTGGATGCTTGAAAGGCCAGCTTGTAGACAAGATGTGGAGTTCAGTTGGGAAAACCTAAAGGTTAAGTTACATGAGCGGTTCTATCCTGCTCATGTCAAGGAGGCCTACCTTTGTGCAGTTGACCTCTATCGGGTATAGCAAGTTCAAAAAGGAATCCGGGAGAACTGTAAGAGGAAGCTTGAGGGAAGTGTTAAACCTGTGGTTAGGAGTTTGATGGTTGCTGGTGCTAAATCAACAAGAAGTCTTCAAAGAGACGACTCTAAGAGAGGTAAGGCTCCCAAACCAATCCGGAACAATAAGGTTAAGGGAAGGCGCTCCGTTTGCAAGAAGTGTGGAAGTGACCACCCCGGCATGGACTGTCTTGGGAAACCGATAGAGTGCTTTGTTTGTGGCAAGAGGGGTCACCTGTCCTTTGAGTGCAGGACTAAGAGGAAGACTTCAGCAGACTCAAAACAAGTTGGTAGTCTGGGACCTCGGTCGGGAAGTAAGCCTCGAAGTGGAAGCAGCAATGGACTAAGTGGAAGTAGCATCCAGGACTTGTGTACGAAGTCGGGACCTCGGCAAGGCAAGATCCACAGTCGTGAGGCAGATACAAGTGGGAACCGTTGAAGTAAGTTCTTGTACCCTTATTTTGCACCTTCCCTTGTCTTTGTGCCCTTCCTTGCGTGTTAGCTTAGGGCGTTAGCTTGTTCGAGAGTCACCCTTGACCATCTTTAATCTTTTCTTTCCCATAGACAAACCCAATCACCCTTTTTGCCAAGTGATCCTTTTCTTC